TACAAAGTAGAAATATAATGATCAAGTTGCTATATTAACCGCTGGAGGAGGTTGATGAGCATATATTGTTAATTGCACATTATAATCTCTTTCCCACACAAGCTGATCTGGCTACCTGGTGGAGGTCTCATCCAGATATTACCCCTCATTATAATTTGACACGTGGCACTCTATTTTCTCCCCCCCCCCCCCTTTCTGGGCTCGAATTTTCTTTCCGTGATTTGGCAACTGAACCACTATTTTAGATAGCTACCCATTCGTATGTGGCGACACGTTTGCGCTCACGCAAACACCCATCTCCCTCGCTTTACTCTTAGATGTCAATAATTAATATTTTAATTATTGATTAATTACTAATTATGATCTATTAAGCGGGATTAATTGTGTGCAGCCGTACCTATCGAAGATAATAACAGGTGAGTGGACTACACGTGTTAATGAATCTAAAATTTTCAAATCAGTTCAGCGGCCAAAGGATATATGAATTTTCAACTGATCGGACGGCTGTGACGGTGTTGTTAGTCATCAAGTCTCAGCCGAACACGTGTACGGTGATGGAACAACCTCCGTGACATATGCCAGTTTCTCTCGTGAACAGAGTTCAAATTCTCGCATCGTACGGAAGATAAGATAATACCGTCCTGGAATATGTCATATGTGTTTCTGTGGAGCTAAAACCAATATTCGCGAGTCTTTGGGGGACACGATTAAGTTATCCAGGATGACCTGTAGCTCACATCCCCTCATTTATTTCTCGTGATAATCTCAAAATATCACGATATTAGCAATAGCCATTCTTTTGGGGGAGTCAATTTTGAATTATTATTTTTTTTTTTCCTGGGATTTGTCCTTGGTTATGAGACCTATTTAAAGGGTCGAAAATAGCCGTCCATCATCATTCCAAAACAACAAAACGTAAAAAGCGTATCGTTCCTTAATGTTCTGAAAATCTCTCTGGTTTTCTTCTCTGCATTGCTTCTTATTCGATCATGGCGTTGAAGAAAACTTTAGCTCAACGTCTATTCAATATCACAAAGTGCTCTGCACAAACTCTAAAGAACTGCCGTGTTTCTTCTGCTTTGGTCCAAAACCGACTGCCTCAGAACCCGAGTACGGCCAACATTGCCCCGGATCCAGGAGATAACGGAATATTCCGTCGTTTCCTTCACAAGAAAGCCATGTTCCAGCCCAAGATCTCGCTGGAGCTCCACTCGATCCCAATCGGAGCTAATCTGATGGAGAAGCTCCGGGAGATGGACTTTTCGAGAGACCGGATCCGGTTGAACGAGCTTGCTCCGCCTGCCAAATCCGAGATGCCGGCGGAGATGGCAGGGTTGACAGTTGAGGATGCGAGGAAGTTGATGACGGTTGCTCAGATGGAAATGGTGAAATCAAGGCTGAGAGAGATCGAAAAATGCTGGATATCGTATAAGGAGTATGTTCGGATATGCGTAGAAGGCTGTTCCGATCCGGAACAAGGATCACAATTGGCGAAAAAGCTTGACGAGTCAGGAAATGTTATCGTTCTGGGAAACCTAGTGTGTCTCCGACCCGAGCAGGTAGATTTCTCTTATCGCCGCGTCTCATCAACTCAATCCATTCATTAATTATTTACCTGAATTAATACCTGTTTTGAACAGATTTATGAGATTACCATTCATGGCCTTGAATTGAAAGAGATAGGGTTCCAAATTTTCATAAGATTCTTCTTTATGTTGATTAGTTTTTCCTTTCTTCATGTTCAATTTTTGAAATTAAAGCTACCGAAAACTGATATGTGTTTCCACGGGTATTTTTTTGTTTGTCTTTCATTTCAACAGGAGATTGAAACTTTTGTTCAGAGACCTAAAACGTCTAAAGGGTTCTTCCACGTTTGAGATGGAATTGAAGGACCAAATATAAAGCCCTTCAAAGTTTCTTCAGTCACAAGATTTTCTGCCTTTTGGGTTTCTAAGGTTCATGGGATCAGAACAACCCATTGCCTTTTTGACCCATTTGAGATTTGATTCTCAATAACCGTTTACTATCACTAACATAAGGAAAAATGGAAATACTTCAATTATTTTTTTTAAAGGAGGAAAAACGGAGAGAAGAAAAGAGAGGGATGTTTTTCTGATCTGCATTTGTCTGCCTTGTGGAGTTAATTAGGGTTTCTAGGTCGGGTCGTGGTTTGTTAAGATCTATAATCTATAGATTAGGGAGTTGGGTATGCTAACTTAAGAAATCAAAAAGGGGGAAAGAGAGTCTATATGCTGCTTCGCGTGCGCGATTTCAACATCATGCATCCCAGCTAATAGGAAATTCTGGGTCCCTCGGTAGTACAGTTGAATTTGTACACGTCTTGATCTTGTCCTGTTGTTTTAGCGCACGGCAATGTAGTCATCCCCTCTAGGCCGTAGCCGGACTTAGGTAAAAAAATAATGAAGGCGACAGTGAGATTGCATTTAGATTTAATACAGTACCCCTTTGCAACACCATAATCATTTTAAACCTAGCATTTCTGAAAGAAAAGTCAAAATTTTCCTACTTTCTGCTTAAATATTTCGAAAACAAAAAATCATTTTCCACCCTTTACTTCATCTGGTCTCCATGTCAACTTGGTCGAATTTGGTGCACAGTCGTTGAAATTCAGATAGAAGATTCACAATTTCACACACCCACATGATAAAACTAGGCCCTTTGGATTTTACAGAGCAAAGATTTGGCTTTTCTTTCTTTCTTAAATCTGATTTACATCCCCTTTTCTGGGTCACACCTTGGATCTGTGAATTTGTGTTTACATATTTCTTTTGGGTCACACCTTGGAACTGTGAATTTGGGTTTACATATTTTTTTGGGTCACACCTTGGATTTCTGAATTTGGGTTTTACATGTTTTCCTTTATCTCCGAGCTTACGAATTTTAACAAAAACATAGAAAAACAAACGCGTCGAGGCCTGTTTTACACAGTACTTGTCTTTTCCATCTTATGATTACAGGTGACAAGAGCAATGGCGAGTCTTCTTCCTTCACGGGAAATTGAACCAAATGATCCAAGATTGAGGGAATTCGAAGAGCTGAAATCCCAGAAAGCTGAAATCGATAGGAAGGCCGAGACCCTTGTGCGGCGCGAGCTCTGGGGCGGACTGGGCTACCTGGTGGTCCAGACCATCGGGTTCATGCGGCTGACGTTTTGGGAACTTTCATGGGACGTAATGGAACCCATTTGCTTCTACGTTACCTCCGTGTACTTCATGGCCGGCTACGCCTTCTTCCTCCAGACATCCAAAGAACCTTCCTTCGAAGGATTCTACCAGAGCCGGTTTGATTCGAAGCAGAAACGTCTCATGAAGCTTCAGAATTTTGACATTGATAGGTATAATGAGCTCCGCAAGATAATTGGTGCTTCTGATTTCCATGAAAAGAGCGTCAAGATTTGAGGTTTGGGCCATTGATTTGAAAATACAGAAATACAGAGAAAGAAGAAGAAAAAAAAAAACTGTAGCAGTTATAGTAATAATATTAATGATAACAGTAATAATAATAATAATAAAATAATATAATAGTATGGACCGTAAAAGAGAGGATGCAATTTTGTGTGCCGGGGCATTCTCGATTATTGTGGCGTTGTAGAAGAATGTAGATGCGGCTTTTAAATTTTGTTATGTAACATTATGCTGAGAGTTGAGAGAGAAGCAGTAGTCAGGAATTATACATGTAAAGAGGCAGCAAGCAGCGTAGTTTATAAAAACTACTGTATGAATGGAGGCAGCTTTCTTTACATAATGGTTTGTAATATTAATGGAGTTCGAATAATTTACATTCAAAATAATGTATATAGGATTAGATGTCATGAATGACTGAGGTAGATTCAATCCGAAATCAGTCCAATTAAGAAAGTTTTTAATTTTTTAAAACATTTTTTAATTTAAAAATTAATAAGGTACGCCCTTATTATTTGGATTTATAATTTATATATTTAATGTATAATTTAATCAATTTTATTATCATATTTAATTAAATAATTTTATTATTAAATACTATCAATATAACATATATTAATCTTTATAAATGAGAAGATATATTCTTAATTCTTATTCTTTATTAGGATGTTATATAATTGAATTTACACGTACAATATAACATAAAAAATTATAAATTATAAATTTAACTACATATTAAGAATTATATAAAGTAAAATATGTAAAAATTTATTTTATTACTATTAAATATTTTATAATTTGATATTAGAATATATATCTTTAGTTATAAAAATTTAATTGCACATTATTTCATGCAAATAAAGAAAATGTTAAATGATATAAAAACCTCAACTTACATAGGTCAATATAATTATTTATATATACCACCAACATAATATTTTATTTAAATATCACAAAAATTATTAAAAATATAGAACTATTTATCTTGTAAATGTATAATAGAATGATAATGAATAATTCATAATATTTTACTTAATAAGTATATAATTTAATTTATCAATATATGTGATACTATGTTGATCAAATTATATATTGTTTTAATAAATTAGTAAAACTTTAGTAAATAAATGATAATTATTTTTTTAAAATTTTAATAGTCACAATAACTTACCTATTTTTATTTTATCAAAATTTATAATATATATATATATATATATATATGTAATATAAAGAACTAGGGGAGGTTTCTTCACATCTTTTGACAAACTTATTCCACCTACGTCTGCGACCAATTTTGTGGAGTTTTCTAAACAAGGCGTATCAAGTGGGCCCCGGACTTTGATTGAAACTCACCGTTTTCCAGCTCATCACTTTCATCACCTGAAAAGAAATAGATATCAATATATTTATTTCTATACCGACCACCGATCTTTCAGGTACCTTAAGTACATTAATATTTACTTTATTGAATTTCTTTTATACCGAGTACCTGATTTTCTGTATTTTTCATTTGAGACAAAAGAAAAAAAAAAAAAAAT